TTGAATTTAATTCAGAATAGAATTTCTGTATAAAAATATCTTGTAGTCTTTTCTTAAAATCAAGTGAATAAGCAGACAAGTTCAGACTGTTGTTTGTAAATAGAAAGGCGTAACCGGACTCCTCTAACATTTTTCTTACATTAGACAGCCAGCAGGGTACATGTTGTCGATCTAAGTCTTTTTTGGACGATAAAAGCTTCATATTGCAAACTATTTGTGTCTACGTTACTAACTAATCTACAGTAATAATTATATAGTCTGCAATAAGCTTCTATCCATAGGGGGAAACGGCCGAGCTCAGCTCTGCTGGCAAGATTACTGGCATTTCTTTTCACTCCCAGAATAATACTGGAAACATTGTTGGTTACCTTTTTAGAAGATTATACTTTTCAACTGTTATTTTTATTACTGAACTGACACTTTTAAAATGTTTTTGGGACTAAAATGCTGGAGACAGAAAGGCTGCTTAAACTGATGAGGATTTTCCGATTGTAATCAGAGAAAAGGAACTCCCTCAGTGGGGTTTTGACAGATGGGGAACTAACACTGTACTTACCTTGACTAAACTAAGAGCCAAAAATTGCCCCTTTCCAAACAAAATTATAGCCCTGGCAAGAAGGGGCCCCTGCAGTCTTTCATCCAGCAGCTACACTTTTTGACAGTCACATGGAAGAACAGTTATTTCACCCTCTCGGAGGCAACAATTCCACCCGTGATTGTGCAAATTACACCCCCTTCGGAATTATTCTGCTCTCAATCATACCTATACATAAAAGGTCACCCCTCAACTCTAAATACAGCCATTTTGTTGGTGTGTAAGTATAGCAATTGTTGTGGTTAATACACAATCACTCAAGTTGTGCGGGGTGGTTTGGGGCCAAAGGCCACCTGCCGGGAGTAGGGTTAATGATGTAATATCTGCCGCTGGCTGACCCCGGGCGTAGTCGCGGCCCAGAGCGTCACAACGGCTTACGCGTGACAACCGTTTCTCGTACGCGAGAACCGTGCCACCCAGAAGTCTACATGGCATAACTGCAGTATATGCTGTATGAAATATAAAGTCTATATCAAAATGAGTGAATGATGTTTATTTTATTATTGTTAAAGATACCAATGTGTGATTGTTAAAGATACCAAATTGAATATTTGGTTGTTAAAGATACCAATGGTATTACACATAACAACACGGGAACTATGCCACCCAAGCAGAAAGTCTCTATGTTGACTTTCTAAGGCATAACTGCACAGATTTCACTTCAAAGTTAAAACCAAAATCAGAAAATATGGAATTATTTTGATTTAATGTTACACAGGATTGTCAAATATGCCAATGCATGACAACTGTCTTTGTTACTGAGAAATCTACTACCCAGGATGCCATAGAGTTGACTTTG